TATCTGAGCTATAAGATCCAGCTTCCTTGTTGGTTTTGCATCTGCTGCTCATCTGAAATTCATTCCAAAGTCTGCTAATGGACCCTTATACAAAGAATATGCTAAATCACTCAAGTTGAAGACCTGTATAGGGAAGAGTGAAATTCAGTGTGCTTTGTGTGTTTGACTGGCCCCCGTTCAATTTTCACTTGTTCAATTTTCAGTGTTCACTTGCTGGATACACAGCTAAGGGTTGAAAAAATAAGACCTCTGTAACAGGTCTCCAGTGCCCTACTGCACAGAGAGGCTTCTAGGGCCATTGGTCTAGACCCAGTAAGCAGATATTTCAGGGCATGTGTGGGCTGGGTGACCCACGTGGTAGACAGATTCTGCATGAATTTTTGAGACATGATTGAATTCAGCTATGACAGTCTGTAGGCAGAAGTATATGCTTAAGCATAGGCTTTGGAGACTAATTTTCCAAGATACTGAGAATTTGGCGAATCTGTTGACCTTCAAAACATGCAAACTGCCCTAAAGACACCTTGGCTTCTGCTCTGGTATTGCTGAGAAAACTTGTTCTTTCAAACTTTGAGGAAGGTGCTGAGGTTGTCAGAAAATGAAAGCATGATTTAAACCCAAAGCAAATTGATTTTAAGCATTGTTTAAAAGAGCAACAACTGTATTTCACAACTACCAGCTAGAAGCATGGCTAGTATATAACTTGACAGTATTTTATGATTTTCTTCTAAATAATGTAAGGTCTTGTTCCATTAATCAGCTGTCACAGCACAGTTCTGAGGAAACCTCTGGTCTTGTTGCACACTTTCACAATTACTTGAACACGTGAAGGACACACTCTTGTATGCAACTCTGAAGCATTTATTTAAGTTTAGGTGAGACGAAGGGAAATACATTACTGAACAGGCAGGTGTTTGTTTTTTCCTTTCTTAGGCACTTAAAATATACTTTAAAACTGACATTAACATTTTTCTTCCCAGTGGGAATGACTTCGGATCAAAAAATAAAAAATATCAACTTTAATCAAGAAAAAATGATAAAATAGAATTTTAAGGCTCAAAGTGAACATCTTTGTATTGGAAATAGTAAGGCAATTAACAATGAATCGCTTCTCCAGTGTTTAAGTTAAAATACTTCATTAGGTCTTGCTAATCATTTTGTATGAAGGCATTTTCCAGAAACTAACACTTTTAAACCTGGTAGCATTAAGAACACAGTTCTTAAAGGAAATCGTATTCCAGATTTGTTGCTTTGAAGTACCTATGATTACTGTAAACGGTTGGAATTGGCGATTGTTTACCTATTAAGATGAAGTCTGCAGACTTGGTTTTTTGTATTTTGAAGTGTATGCTCTCATCTTGTCACGTTAGCAGACGTGAGGCATTCAGAAGGTGTGCTCCACCTTCCATATGGGAGCAAGGGAACTCAATCCAGCTGGTTTAAGGCAAGAAGTCCAACGGTATCAATGCAAACTGCTATGTGATGCTGCTGAGGACTGCGTTTGCACCCAGCTGGACCAAAATTTTAAAGCAAAGATACTTTTGCTTTCTAGAATCGCAATACAAAAGTTGTCATTTCTGCTCTTCTTTGAAATACTCTGTGCCTCTGTTTGGTTGTATACAAAACCAGGACTAGAAGGAAACAGGAAACTAAATAAACCTACAAGATGATAAATCAGAAAACATTGAGAGGTTACAAAACTGAGCATTTCTGTATCTCACTGATACAATGTTATGCTCCACATTGTGGTGTTTTAATGGACTTTTGGAAGTTAATAGCTAACGCTGACTTCAGTGGAAGTTCTGACATTGATTTTTGCTGTTGCAGTAGCCTGCCCTGAATGAGAGAGTGAAATACCATGTTAGTGTGAAGTCAAATGGGTCATTCAGTTAAACAAAAACAATGGACAGCCAAGCTGTTCAGGAAGGGAGCACAGTTGCACAGTCTCTCGCGTATCTTGACACAGTATGATTAGACAGTACCGTCCTTCACAGGACATGAACTCCAACAACATCACGTTTTGTGACAACTCAGTGTTGTCTCCGCTGCTTACACAAGCCTTTTTCCCTTGGCTTTTCCATCACTTAACAATGCAAGCATAATTTTCGTGTCTTTTTCTAGCAAGTCTTCTTTGTGATGAGCACATCAATACTACTAATTAACAGCATTTACATCCATTCACACAAGCTTCCTTTATATACTCATTTTATGGGCTCAGTATATGCAAAGGAGAAATGTTCTGTAGCAGTTAATGACCAAAATTTAATGACTACAGAATATTTAGGATCAGATTCTGATTTTGTTTGTATCGGATACACTGAAAGTAATTGAAAGTACTGACTTCTGCATTATGTAGGGAGATGCGATGGGTAAAGTTTTGATCCTTTTGCTGGTACGTACTGTCAAGGAGAGAATGTTATAGTCCAGCTGACAGATTTTGGTGATCCACTCTCTGTAGCCTACCTCTCAGTACAACTTCTGGAGCCCCTTCTTGAATGACTAAGGATTAATCCTTCTTACACAGATTTTTTTCAGCAGTAGCTTCTCGTCCTCCCACTTCTAAAGAACTGAATGTACATTTTAAAAAACATTGTACCACTTAATACTCAGCTTGTCGCTTCAGATTATAATGATGGAAGTTTGGAGACATTCCACTGAAATCACGGAGAAAAGGTTGAAGAGATGTGGTTTGCATATTTTCACTGTGCACTTGGTATTTTAATTTGTACTGAGTTTTTGGGTGTGTTGTCTGATGTTGTAAAATGTGAGAACCGCTGCTGCTGTCAGTAATATTAACAAGTATGATTCCAGCAGTGGTAACCAGATACTTGCTAATAGCAAGTACTAGTATTCCTTTCTTCTAAACTATGTAAAGAACTCTGATTAAAGTGATCACTCTTGTAGTTTCTTGTAGAATTGCCTACTAGGATATATCCCAGTCAAAAAGGAAAAGTTTGTGCTTGCCTGAATTCTTAGTTTCTACTCAGTCAATAGGTAACTTAATCCACATAGGGTATTCAGGCAGGCAGTAGAAAGTAAAATAATTTAGGAAGTATAGAATGATTTAGTTCTGAAAGAACCTCAGGAGGTCATCTGGTCCAACCCCTCACTCAAAGCCAGGCAAGGCGGCCACAGGGGAGTTCTAAGCAGACAATCGCTTGACTAAGCCTGTGCTAGGTATGAAGCCCGATGGCCGATAGACGACTTGGAATACTTTGGATCAAAATCTACTCCTCAGTTCTGGCATGAAATAATGGGAAGACCAGGGCCGTAGATGGGAACAGAATTTCATCCTTTGTATCTTAATTTCCTCTCTTCCCACTTCTCAACAGCACTGCGTTAAATAAGCAAAATCCATTAACTTCCCTTGGATTATTTTCCCAAGAGTAGTTACTAATATGGGAAACTTTAAATTTTGGGTTGCCCAACTCTGACTCAGTGTAGGTTTAGTTTTGGAATCCCTAAGCCATCCTAGAATCAAGTGAAGATAAGAGGAGCAGTAGGTGCTCTATCCTGGAAAATCAGACCCACAATGTGGGCATCCTGTAAGTTGGGCATCCTGTAACTGAAGTCACTTGAATCAATGTGTCACTTCTAATAGCTATTAGTTTTATTTTGTTTGCCAGGGAGGAGGTACAACACGGGAAACAACTGGTATTTCTGCTTTCCCACTGAAATATCCGCACCTTCTTTTGTCTCTCAGGATAAGAATGTATTTTAGCTTCCTGGTGTGTTCAGTCTGGGGTGAACCGCCTGAGATTTCTAACAAAAGCATGAAAGTTATAATGGTGGTTTTGTTTTATGGTCTTCACTCAGGTGGGAAGTGGCACAATAGAAAAATTCACTTCCTCTAAACCCTTAGGGAACCAACAGTTAGAGACAACATAAGCTGTATTTGTAGGAAATGCAATGAAAGGCTGTCTCTTTCTCAGTCTCTGGCTATATCCAGTATCCTTTTGCTCTTACGATAACTCCTCATTGTTTTCTTTGCATATGTCATTTTTTTAAGTTACATTTTTAGCTTTGAAAAAATCCAGATAAGGTCTAAAATGAAAGTATCTGCTAATTTTTCTTTTCATCTCTGTGACTTTCATCAGGACTTTGTTGCATTCTCCAGCCATGTTGAAAGCAATAAGTAAGAACTGCTTGAAAACAATGTCCAAAGAAGAGGGATAGCAATAATTTAAAGATGCAGGAAACCATCTTAGATATTCACAGATTCTAAGTGCTGGGAGGCATTAATACAACTGTGTAGATGCTAAATATATTTAAATCAATCATTAAGTGTTGTCACTTAACACCTTCTGTTGCACTTTCATTAAATTGCTTTATTTATTGCTACTATTAGTTACAGTAGGTTTTCTAGCTCTTTGCGCCTAACTGTTGCTTAACTTCATAACTTTTGTATATTAACAGAATTTTCTCTGTCTTTATAGTAGACACCACACTTGTGACTATTTCCTAAATGATGGTGAAAATTTAAATTCCACCCGATCATAATTCCTTTTCAGTTAGTTAAAAAATGAGCTAGATGGTAGATGCACTTTTCTTTTAGTCATGTTAAAAATTAGGAAAAAGAGACTGATACTTAAAAACGGTGAAGTTACAAGCCTGATATCATCTGTGTTTAAAGACAGAGAATCACTATCATTGTAAAGAAAAAAATATGAAGCACATCTGGAAAATAGTTTCAGCTATAGGCTCTAGAGAACATGCTTCAGACAAGAGGAATTTTGGTTTCCTATGTTAGTGTCCTATGCACGTGCCCTGTGCCTTACTTGATGAATCCTTACACCATGAGTACACAGTTCATGGAGTACACACACACACAAATATAAATATATAGGGTATACAGCTGTACCTACATGAAACACTATATTTATCTAGTCTTGAGTTCAAAAATTCTAAGATTATCTGGCATAATAATATATAAAAATGAGTTACATCTTTTCCCTTTTACTTGTGCTTTGTGATTATCTGGCATGTTTTTTCAGAATTACATTCAAAGTCACGTTGTTTACCCTCATTCAGGATTGTTGTTATTGTAATGTCAATGTTTTCACTGGCACTATTCCAGCTAAACATCACCAATCCTTAACATGGCTTGCTACAGTACAGTAGCTTTAATTCAAGCAGTAAAAGTGGTATCGGCTTTTAAGTGCTGAAAACTATGTTTACTATGTAGCAAACTACACAGTACTGAATTTATTGCACAACACTCCATACCACAATTATCCTGCAGTAAAATAGTATGCAAAAGTCTTGTATGATATGTTACTTGCAACATTTGCAGCAGCAGTACACTTAATTACAGACAAGTTGCTTGTAAACCTCTTCCCCCCCCCCCAGTTCTAGTATCTCTGCAGGTGTAACTGGAACAATTGTTTGTTTGTTTTTCAAAGTTCTTCACTCTCCACCACCTTTTGGGTTGGGGATGAAAACAGCATAGGGCTTTCAGTAGTTGGGAAGGCAGAAAAAATGTCGAGTCCTTGACCGGTAAGGTTTGCATACAGGTTGCTGCCAGGTCGAAGCTTTATTGGTTGTGGAATTTGACGGTGCCACTGAGCTGAAGCAACAGAAATGGAATAGGCTGTATAAACCTCTAATCAAGTTAGCAGTGAAACAACAGAAATCAATGCACACAACTGAAAAGTTGCTGCCAACATCCTTGAAGAGAGCTCAGCATTGTTGTTCTGCATTTTATGGTTAGTTTCTTCAAATATTACCATTTGCGTAGTGTATGTGTTGAGTATTGTTATTGAAGTCTACAGGTGGAATTCCATCCCAGTTCAATTCAATGGCAATGTTTACATGGATTTCACAAAGGCCAAAATGTAATCATTTAATCTTTGGAGCCTTCTCCAAAGCTCTTGCAATCAAAACTAAAAACATACCATAGCATGGACAGAGATGAACAAACTGGACATGGCTCTGATTTTGTACTACTACTTCCTCTGGGGGACTTTTCTTTCTGTTATTTTTTTTGGTGGTATTTAATTTCAAAGTAATAATGTAGGGATTTTTTTGAAGAAGTGATTACAATTTTTATTTCCCTCTACTACTTACAACTAGTAATACGTTTCCTAAATTTTTTTAAAGATACTGAAAGAAATGTAAGCCAAAGACACATACTTGGGTAATTTAAAAGTAACATTGAACACCTTCCCATATGAACAAGTACCATTACAAATTTCTAAGCATATTTAGCTATTATACAATATTTAACAGTTGTCATTCTTAAAACACTTCAGAAAGGGAAAATGGATATTATCTTTGCCGGTATTTAATTTATCTATACAAAACCTCCAGGTCTGCACCCAAACTGGACAAACATATCTGTCAGCAGTGAGGGGGTGGAAGTTCAGGCTACAATACTCAGAATAGCTCAGTGTGGGAGACCTACAATCCACATGTTAAGCATTGATAGGAAATGTTCATTATCTTTCCGTGCTGAATTTTGATGCTGTCTATCTGGAAATATTTGAAAAAGAGCCTCCTTTTTTCTTGCAGCCCCCAATTTGTTTCTATTTGAACAATGCACTCATTGTTTACTGTACTTCTTCCTTTGCACATAGAATTGCAAATATCAGACCACACTTTCAATTCCCCAATCCCATGCATTCAAAGCAGCACAAAGAAAAACGATTTCTGACACTCCCTTTGGTGTGTAAGACTTGCAGTCTTTAGAAAATATGGTTGGAATCAGGAAGCATTTCGTACTTTCCATCTTTTTCCTCTTTGTACCTTGAATCCTTTATATGAAAATTTAATTTATTTCTTGCAACATTTAGATACCTAAGGAATTATTTTCCATTTTTTGTGACCTTTTTTGAATCAGACTCACCAGCCCTCTCTTGAACATTACATTGCTGTTGTCTGTTATCACCACAAGGTGGCAGAAAACTGACAGAGATGCACTAGTGACTTGTGGTTATCCCTGCTGATTAACTGTTGTGTTTTGGTTTTTTTGTTTGTTTTTTTTTTTTTTTTAAATGAGAAATACAAGGTTGAAAACGTGTGTTTTCTTCCTTTGAGGGTATGACTATAATACAGTAGTTTGTGGATTGTGTTTTCTGTTTTATTTTGCTGCTTAAGTCATCAAAGTACTCTCTCGCTCTAGATAAACTGTCTTAACTATTACATCTTCCATAGATACAGAGTAATTAAATGATGCGCTATAGTTCTTGAACTGGGCTGGGGCCTTCCGAGTCCTAGACAAACATATTAAATGCAAACTAGCCTCCATTAATTAGGCATAGTTTGCATCATACGTGCTCCATAGAAGAAGGGGTCTACTTTCTTGTGTGCAATCTCTTGTTCCATCTCGGGTCAGGGCTGTACCACAGGCCTGTGTCAGAGGGAACAGAGTTAAAGTTCAACTTGAATACATGTTTATTATATGCTTATGTGTCTAGGGAATTTGGAAGGTGGAAAATGGGAGTAGAGAATACTGTGCAGAACACCTCCTCTGTTTTCTCTCTTTACCTGCCTTTAAACTGATGCAGGAGAGCTAATTTGGCCATTTAGCTGTATCGCCATCCCTCCTCCTGGTGGCCATATTAAGCTGTGGCCATGCTGTGACACTAATTTCTAATCCATGTCAAAACCAGCAATTTACAGATTAAAAACTAGGTGAGGGCTTGCACCAGTCAAAGAAAATAAATTCTGATTTGTTTTATTTACTAGCCAATACCTACCGTATATGTCAAGTCTAGCAGTACAAGAGACAATACCAGCTTCGTTTTTTGCAGACAAGGTATACCAGCCAGCATCTGTTTTCTTGGCAGGTTGAATCAGGAGGCAGACATACCCTGTTGTATCTTGATGCATGCTGGGAAAACAGGTGTTTTGGAATTAGTATTTCTCAAGAGCATATCAACTTTGAGATTTTAGAATATGTACATTAAATATGAAATAGATAAGTTGTAACTTCTCAAAGAGGTAGCAGGTCAAGACATTTGTAGGCAATAGGCTTGCTTTGAGAATTGGTTTTCTGAAACCAAGAATCAGAGCAGCTGAAATCTGTTCTTGCTCCTCTCAGCTGTGCAAAGCCACGGTATGACAGTGTGAGCTGAATTCTTGCTCTGTATGTGTTAATATTGGAATTGTTTATTGAATTCCAATGAACTAAACCCATGCAAAGCTGCTGCACTGTCATATTCTATTTATTCCTAGTTCAGAAACTGGAAGAATAACATAACAAAATACCAAGAACGTTTCTACAAAGTTGTGCTATTTTTCACAACAGTAACCAGAGCAAGTCAGAAACTCTTATGGCACCCTTTTCCATGAGAAAATGCCTGAGTGGCAAAATCATGAAGATTTGTTTGGCCAACACTCTAAAAGAAACCTGCTTCATTATTTCCTCCTCTTCCTTTGCTCTTCAGTGATCCAAGACTCTCTGGCTGCAACTTCCAGGAAAAACTATTCAGTAGTGTGTCAGAGAACTGAGGCTCCTCTGCTCTCTATGGTGTGGTTGCTCCTTTTTATCAACCCAAGTGTTTCCCTCCTTATAAAGGAAGAGGTGGGAGATGAACACATCAGAATACTTGAAGTTGCAGAAGTTCTGAAATTTGAGACACTGTTTCCTTATGAACTGGAATGAAACATCAAACCACAGAATTTCAGGTCAAGAGGACATTTTGTGCTTCTGACAGCTCATTAGAATGCAAAGGGAACATTCACCCTTTGCTCCCTGCACTGCATAATTTGCCTTATGCTGGGGGCGCAGTAGTATAGAAGCTCACGCATGTCCGTATCGTGATACAAAAAAGGTCTCTGGGCTTCAGGCAGGAAGATAATAGTGAGGCAAGATAGGGACAAACAAGGACGATGCTGCCCATCGCTCACGTGGATCTGTGCGGAACCACTCGAAGCCTCGGGGACAGGCAGTCTGGTCATGACTGGCTGAAACAGCAGAGGTGTTTCAAGCCTGATGTTAGCTCCTGGCGTTGTGGGGTGTGGGAGGTTTCCCTTAGTCATTCCTCTACCGAGCTGAAGCAAAAAATTGTTTTCTAAGCTTCTGTGAAGCAACTGGAAATGAGGCATTTTAGGACAGTTGTTCATTTTACATTAACTACAGTGATTGCCTATGTATAACCATAATTCCCGTGAAAGTGCCAGTACTTTAAATAAATCCTTGAGTAATCTGCCTAGAGGCAGAGGAATAAAGACTACAGGCTATAGAAGATCAGAGTCAGGAGGGCTTTTTGGAGAGGGACAGCAGGCTCTGAGTGGGGACAGGGAGAGCACTGAAAGATTTTTTCAAGTAAGCTTTCCCTCACGATCGGTGCACATTCATAACAAGTGCTGCTGCAGAGCCAGTTTTCCTTACAGATAGCCTGCAGGGTATGCATGTGAAAATGTAGTACTTCTTGTAGTTGATCTCAGAGATCCAATGACTGCATCAAATCATTAGTTGGAGCCAAGTGAAATAAAATATTAAAAATCAGATTTATGCTGAAGTTGAAATATCTAAAAAATAAATGAAAGCAATTAATTTCTCACGTTATCTCATCAGCCAGGCACGTTATCTCATCAGCTTTTCTTTTGCAAAACCTAAAAAATAGCGATGCATTTGAATGCAAGAGCTGAACCTAAACATTGTTGTATTTTGGAAGCATGGATCAAAGTCTTTGCCTGTGCTTGTGACCAAACTTTGTTATCAGCCTCTGTATCCGATACGCTAAACTCTCTGTTACCCTGCGCTCTGGGGCATTCAAAACTATGTTCTAACTGTTCTGAGTTTGAATTCATCCATACTTAGAAGTAAACTGAGGAAAAAATAGTTTAGAGAGAGAATAAGGTGCTAAAATGCATTAAAACTCTGTATCATAATATCTTTGATAAGAAGAGGCACCTGCTGTATCAGGCCTATGGCCCAAAAGGTCTATCACCACTGCTCTGAAGCAGTGGCATATTATGCTCCATGCCTTTATTCTGAACCGGGGAAATAGCTATTGTTCACCTCACAATGAAGCCAGCTTTTTAAAACTTTATGTGGGTGAAAGAAGTTGTTGTAAGACCACCACCTGTACTTATCACACAGGTTTTCATGGAAAAAATTGGTCCAGCCGCAAGAAACTCCAAGCATGGGTACGATGGTACAGTACCTCATCCTCTCTCTGTTTGATGGGATGGTCTCATTATCCTTCTTCCAGTAAAATATGGGGGGTGGCATTCCCACAACTCTGCACTCTAATCTGACAGGGTACCCTTCAGGAACACCACAGTTCTGAAGCTTCTCCAAAAACATGGGGGCTTTTTTTACTTCCTTTGCTGGAAAAAGAAAAAAAAAATATTGAACAACAGATATTTTGTTCTTTGTTTCTCTTTGAACAGTATGGAAGAACAAGACCAAAAATTATTCTTGTGATATCAAAATAGGTTGTGAATTTTTAATGGGATAGTGGAAGGAAAGTGAAGTGCTGTGACATAGCCTCTGCAAGGGAACATAAAGATAATAATAGGCAGAATTGATGTTCATAAAAGAATCTATGCATATCTAATGGGTCTACACATACTACCATTGCAGGAAATTAACGCCAGATCTATGAATTTCAATATCTCACATCTTGTAAAGCTTTATTAAAGAACAGTATTCCGATTTGTATATTTCTATTTAAAAACATTTTTAAACTAATAAAATGGGGACTGAAATCTAGGAGACCTGAACATGTATTCTGAATTCAAACACTAAGCATTTTCTGGGGAGAAAATTAAGAATGTCATTTTGCCAAGACAAGAGAGGTAAAGTGATGATGAGACAGAATTCTTACAGCCCTCTGTTAATAACAGGAGTGCACCTATCGACTGAGCACCAGGTCCGTTTCCCTCCACCAGATGAGTTTTATAGCTGTTGAACTCTCCTACTATCAGTGGATTAACTATTTATTTATACCCGTCTGCAGGCAAACTAAGTAGGGTAAGTTTGAAGAAGTGCGTACAAATAACTTCATCATTGTGACTAGTTTTTCAGTGATTCTTACCTACAACAGTGAGCTCCAGACTAAATGAATTTTGTCCCGTTTTATTAGTGGCAAGGCAAGTATAAGTTCCAGCATCGTTTTGCGAGAGAGGATCAATAAGCAGAGAGTGAACTCCAGTCTCTCTGACCAGCATCTTGTGGGTGCCATCTGGTAGCACAGGTTTGCCGTTCAGAAGCCACGTCAGGTCTGGAGTTGGTAACCCACTCACCTAACAGACAGTGAAACAGCTAGAGACAAATGTCAGACTGACAAATAGATTTTACTAAATTCATAGGTAAGCCTTTTTTTAGATACCATCTGAATGATGGCAGAATCTAGAACAGAAAGATTTTTTTTTTTTAATTTCTCAGCTTCTGTTTTTCTGCTGATTAGTTCCAAAAGGGAGAAAACCAGAAAACAAACAAGCAACAAAATCCCAGGAGAAGCAAATATATGAAATGCCTACATTTTTTTTAGTCAGAAAGAAAGAAACTCGATTATATATCACATTCATGAAAGACTCCTAGTAACCTGCTAGTTTTCTTTTTTTTTTAGTGCTGAGTATAAATCAAAACCCTGGATCTAAACCACTACAGAGTTTAACAGAGGTGAAAAAGAGTTCTATACGAATGATGTTGTATTTTGTAAAATTTGATGAAGAATGATATAGTTCTTTGTAGCTGTTAAACTTACATGCTTTAGAACACTATAGATTAAGTATTTTTTTAGAAAGGTTATTAGTCTGTATTATAGTCTTAAAGATCTTTCCAATAGATAGAAGTACTTACTCATGTGTAAAATATTACTTTCCAAACAATATTCCACAAACCAGAGGAAGAGGGAAGTGGAACTTGCCTGAACGAGGACTGCTGTCTTCCAGGTTTGTGCAATACCAGACATGCTTTAAGGCTTCACAAGCTCTGCCAGGATAGCAGAGCTAAGAATAACCAAATTCTTTGGCATGCTCCCTAGTAAACTTTACATCGTAAATTAAGTGGTAATGAATCTTGTTCATCTTCAGGGCGTTAACTTCTGCTTCAGAGCTTGTACCCTCTTCAGGGTAGGAGACATTCTGGCGTATGGGAGAGGTCAGTGTCAGCATTACCACTTTTGCTGTGCTACTTGGACACAGAGGGGCTACCAAAATATGTTGGAGCAGATGGGTGTCTTAAAGCTGTTCAGTAACAGCTAATACACTGTGTGTATTCTAACCTCTGACAACTCTCATGTGGGGATTTGAATCTGTAAATGGGGATGTTTCTGCATCTGTGCATGCTGGGGAAGCATAAAATGAACTAGGCTCTTCCCTCTTTTCAGGGAGTATTAATCTTCAGTAATTCAGTCCAATACAATGGAAACATTTGTTTAAACGGAATACAACATGCTGAATCCTCTCTTTCTCATGGTTTTGTGCTGTTCTGGATTATGTTCAAGAATCTGATAATGGGGCAGAAGGACCTGTCATTCCCAGATGAACTTCTGGAGTTCAGGCTGGTGAAGGACACGGAGAACATAACTAGTAATTGGAACAACCTTGTAAGTGAGCCTTCGATTTCTGGGCTTGTGTTTTCTGTGTTCTTCATTCCATATAGCATGTGTTGAAAAGAAATCCCCTGAATCAGCTCAGAGACAATGGCAATAAGAAATAATTTTTAAAAATGAAGCATTAAAACTTTAACAGAAAGTGTTCATGCACGCAATGAAGAACGTGAAAACACCTAGCAATACATGTACAGAGGTAGGGGAAGTGAGAATGAACAGAGGAAATGGTTAATACCTTACAATCCAACCTACAAAGTCGCCCTTCGTGTGCTACCATGTCACCTGGAGCCTGTAGAAAGTATGGCCTGAAAAAGCGTTCTTGAACTGCCTCTTTGTCTCCTTCTGGCGCCCGGGGTCGTGTTCTGCAACACAAAATTGCATGTATATGTTTGGAAGCCAAAGTCTTTTTCCCTAATGCTTAAAAAAAGGGATAAATTGTGGAAAAGTATGAACAGATAGCTTGAATTAAATAAAAGGGCAGAAAGAAATGGACTGATTGTAATTTAATACTTGCATATTTTCCATTTAGAACGATTATCAAGTTAACTATATAGTGTAGTATTGTTGGATTCCCAAGCTGTCCTTTGCTGCTTTTTGCTTTTTTGGCTGAATTTCGTCTTGCTAATCCATCCCTTGCCTTTAACTCCACTGCAACATGTAAATGAAATAATACTTTAAACGTCCCTGTATATGAAGATGGCCTTCAAAAATATTACATTCTAGAAGTGACCTGTTGGGAGGGAGCTGCTGCTGTTATTTCCATGTTACGGTTGAGAACTGAAGTACAGAGTGCATTGAAGTACAGTAGCTACTTATTTTGAATGCCTTCAGTAAGGAGCATAAAGAGGGTCTGAAGGACTTGTCTTTCCTTTTACCTGTGAGGCTGAATTGTTGATATTCGGCCCCGAACAGGTATGCTCTGAACCATCAGGTGGCCTGAACAACTGATTCGCCCCTGCAAATCACAAGGGAAACAGAATTAATAGTTGGTTAATAGCACATTTCATTTTCAAGTATAAATATTTAACATTTGCAATGCATTAGGGTTTATTTTTATAAAGTAACTGAACTGTAGTGTAGATAGGACTTTTTCAAAGCAACTGCTATGGGCGTGCGGTGGAGGCAGGGGTTTCTTTGTGTGTCTGGAGCAGTGTGTTTCTCAGACCCCTCGAGGCTGTGGCAACGCATTTAGCAGTGGTGCCACGTAAACCAGCGTAAGCAGTGTCTGTCCCTGCTCATTCATTCCTGCCACTGTGCCTCCACAGGTACCCGCTGCTAGTACCTTTGTACTACATACTTGTTTATGCAGCCGCGCAGAAACTGAAAAGCAGTTGGGCTGAAATATAGTTCAGAAAAAAGGAAAAATTTAGACTAGAAAAAGTTGCCTGTTCTACTTGAGTGTACTGCTAAATTAGCTAAGCTAGCACATAGGGTGGAGGAGATGGTGTTAGGGGATGAGACTATTTGCAGATCCACATCTTTGCGTCCTAGATAAACAATAATTGTGTTTGGTAACACTTCCAAATTTGATGTAACTTTTTGTTTCCTCTCGCTCTATTCTTTCTGCCTGAAATACTGTGTCTCTCTTGTCACCACATCTCAAAAGATGCAACAGAGGGGGGGGGTCAGAAGATAGGGCAGGAGTTACTAATGTGGAAAAAATGTCCTTCATGACTGTGACTGGGATGTGTAAGAACAGGGGAGTAGTTTCATCTTCATTACGTGGTTTCCTCTCCTATCCCCCGAAGCAGCTGATTTTTCATATAGTCACCACACGATGTCAGACTAGGTGGCCCAATCTGTGTTCCTATTAACATATATTAGAAAAAGATGAAACAAGCGTTCTTGTAGAAGAAAATAAAACACCTTACTTGTGGGTTTGCAGCCATAATCGTATAGTTGCCATCATCATCGTTAGTAGAAGCGTCAATATGTAAAGAACATGTTCCATCTTCTTCTCTGTTCATTTTGAAATGCGTGTTTTTCTTTGAAATCTGCTTGCCATCCTTGAACCAGTATACCTGTAGTGATCAGACCCCCCACCCCGCAGTGACTTAACACTTGCTCTTGTAGTGGAATAGTGACTACAAAAAATGTAGATAAGAATGTGACATAAGCTGACCAATTGCTAGTAAAAATTTTAGAGTATTATAAAATTTGCAGATCGGTTACAATGTGAAATAGAGTGATTCCAGGTTGCACTCAGAAGGCTGCGTATCTCCTTTACATAGCTGGGCCTGTCAGGTTCTCTTTTCTTGGCTACAGACACATTACTGTTTATGTCAGATCAGTTCTCATCTTTCTCAGAAGTTAATTTTTTGGGGGGTTATGAAGTTCCATTTCTCTTGGAGTCAGGCAGTTGTGAGGCAGTCCATATAGTACATCAAGGCCTCATACGTGCTCAGGAGCAGATACTGTTATTTTAGAAAGCGGCGCGGGTAGGGGGGAGGAATAATTTGGTTTAGAGCTCTCTCCACAGAGCCATGTTCTTAGGAGTGAGATTTCCCAGAGGGATGTATAGAAAATAGTGCGTGGTTGATTTTTATTCCTTTACCGCTAGCAGTGAGAATGACCTACCTTGGGAACAGGTATTCCAACTATTTTGCAAGTGAATGTAATAGGAGATCCTTCCATTACCCGAAAATGCTTGAGTCTCTTATCAAAGATGGGTGCTATGTATTTGCCTGTAGGGATTTCTTCGTGTTGGATCTCATCGTCCGATTCATCCACTGGGGTACGTTCAAGGCGAAATTCTATTTCATTCATCAGTCTCTGCTCAAAGCTTGAAATCCTGTATTCCTGCAGAGTGAGAGAGGCAAGGTTCTGAACAAGACGAGTCGTGTTCTGTGGTATTAGCAGTCATATGTGCTTTTAGACTAATTCTAAAATGAGTGAAAATAAAAAAGCCTACGTAAACTAGGACATATTCAAACAGTCCAAATTTGGTCTGCAGAGATTCTCACTGCATCTTAAGGTTGCAGAATGTAACTAATGAAAGTGAGTTTTTTCAAAGGCAGCTAAAAAAATCAAATGTGTAATTCCTCTAAGTCCCTAGGAAAAAACTATACTCTTGCACACTGTTGGTCAAAAAAGATCATTAAAATATACCAAATTTTTGAGGCTTTTGTGTTCAAATATTAGTCACCTGCTAATTATAGAAATGAATACCGCTATATGTTTAAATTCAGAGTTAAATAAGGAAAACTATACCTACTAAAAGAGAAAGCTAGGAGGAAAGTGAAATATTTTCAGAGTAATTTACCTTCAGGTTAAAACTTGACCAGATTTCTAGCTGGTGTAACTGAGAAAGCAAAACATATCACATTTAAATCCTTAGAAGATTAAACAGATGAGGCAAGAAAACCAGTATATTCCTACATAAATGACCATTTCCAGATAGTGCGATGTGATTATGAGCCTCTTCCTAATCCCCTGAAGTCAATTAGAAACATCTCACGTTACTTAGCTGTTCTGCATGAGCATGTCTCTTGTCTAGGCCAAGAGACATTTGACCACGTATCCCTTGCTGTGACATACGAAGCTTCAAACCAACAGCCGGCTTCATTTTTTGACACCACAGCAATGTTTCCCCTGGGCATGGTGGAGCACTACAGATACACCTGAATGGACGTTTCTGGGAGCAGACGCTGCCTAGCTACACTAAACACAGACAGCTGCAAGAATATCTTGCTTAAGTCATCATAAACTGTCTTGTGAGGAAGCTTGTGTTACATATGTACGCCTGTAGCAGTAACCAAATCAGTTTGCTCAGACCTGAATTTATTTATATAGATAGTTTTTAAGTCCAGAGCTTGCATTCCTAATGAGGGGCACTGACATCTCTGAGAGCAGGCTTATGTTTTATTCTACTTCTGCGGCAAGCTGGGATCTTCAGAATCTCACTTTAATCTGTCAGATAGTGCTATTACGATGGGGTTTGTTGCTTTTGTTGTAAGAAGGAAATGATCTGTGGATCAGGCTTGGAAGAGAAATACTTGAACAATTCCAAAAGTGCAATTTTCATTTTTTAAATAGAATTTTAGAAACTGGTGAATAGTAAATAAGGACCTAGCCTGTCCTTAGATATATTCGGTTTGCTGAAAAAACAAGGTTCAGAAAATGCATCTTGTCTGAAATCTTATAGAAAGTTAATTAAAGAACCAGCAAAGATCCCAAATCACTGGGACTTACACCTCTGATCATTTAGCCATTCCATCACACTGCTGATTATGCTCTTGACCAGTAGTTCCCAAACAGCAAGGAGCAGAGATGGAGAGGCAGCACAAAATTTTAGCTGACAAAGTCTTCCGATTTCTTCAGGAGACCAAGGAGACAGAAGTGGCCAAAGGTTGAGAGGTTACAGGGTAGTTTTGAGGAGATGGGGGTCTGCAAGACTTACGGGTGAGAGGAAAGGAACGTGGCTGCCACGAAGTAAAAATATCTGATTTTAGTACTGTAATGGTAGGTGTTGTGTATCGGTCTCTTCATCTAAAATCTTTTTTTGGGGGGTTGCTGTAAGGTCAGCTCCAGTAAAGACTAGCTGTGGAAGGAAAAGGCAGATAGCTCAGAGTAGGGAGGAAAGGACTTGGATGAATGAACTCTCTTTACTGGAAACTGAGTCCTCCTTCCACGCCTCCCTCCTCCTCTGATGCTGCAGGGCTGTTCCTTCCACACAGCTTTGGAGCAGCGCTGATAATTACGAGGTAACAGGAGCGTTCACAGGGGGCTTAGATTGCTGGGTCCCCCTTCAAGATACCTTCCTTACCTTTAACGCTCTCCCTCCACTCTGACAGGGACAGTCTGCTCTCTGATACTTTCTTCAAATGTACGACTGCGAGTACAGCTTTGCCAAGCGGGAGTTTTTGAGCTTGCAGGTCTGTAGAAGTGTGGGAGATACACGCCAAAGGGTGGGAGCCAGCCACTAGATGGTATCATCCACTTGCCTAGTTGGCTTTGTTTGCTCTGTGGGCTGGCCAACAGCTGGTGATCAGCAAGCAGCCTTATAAAGTCTCATCTTGTTGAGCTTTTTTTCTTTCACACAGCATGTCTCAACAAATCACTTCAACAGATCAAATTCTCATCTCAGTTAAGCCAGTGTAAAACGGGAGATTTTCTGACTAACCAAAGCTATCGTTTTTCCCTTTAGATGGCGAGAGCTGATTATATAGTGTTCTAAGGGAAACTTAACCAATCGGTCTTTTGCCTGTGTATTTTTAGGAACGAAGAATCAAGTAAAAATCAGGGAGTGACTCCTACGCTTTAAGCAGCAGCCATGTCACCAAAATGGACTGCAGTCATATTTTGGTTCTAGAGTCTCCCATAAATTAAGGAATTCAGACCTAAATACTTTGTTGCCAGCAATGTACTGAAGAACATATTTAAAGTTTTGCTTTCCTTCCATTTCTTTGGGAGCTTTAATAGTTTCCTTCATGTTGTTTAGGTAGTTCTTGACAGCAGAGAGCAAAATGTATGCAAAAAAATTGCACCTACTGAGAAAGGATTACCTTGAGTCTCTGAATTTTCCAGTAGGTCCTGAAGATACTGTATGTAATTCTTCTAAGAATGAAATTGTTTTCAGGGATTTCACATGCTGCGTGGCCTTTGGAAATGTGGACGTCAATTAAGGATTAATTAAGCTAGGGGTAATCTCTTTCCTTCCTTCCCTTTCCATCATCTAATGATTTGTCACATGAATAAAGGCCAGGGCAATACAGCAAGCATGGTACAGACAGTCTAATTTTGGCCTGTTTAAACATGTCACTGTGTATTGTGTAATGACCCTCTCAAAAATTATGTAGTTTTTCTGGATATTGGTTAAACGACAGCATAATTGTAAAGCTAAATACACTGTTTTGCATACATGTTTCTCATTTATCGTAGAATCATAGAATCATAGAATCATCTAGGTTGGAAAAGACCTTTAAGATCATCCAGTCCAACCATTAACCTACACTACCAAGCCCACTCTAGACTAATCAAGGGTAGACCAGACTAAACCATATCCCGAAGTGCCACATCTACCCGTTTTTTAAACGCCTCCAGGGATGGTGACTCCACCACCTCTCTGGGCAGCCTGTTCCAATGCCTGACCACCCTTTCCGTAAAGAAATTCTTCCTAATCTCCAGTCTAAACCTCCCCTGGCGCAGCTTAAGCCCATAGTATTTGAGCACTTTTGAGAACTGTTATTCCCTTTGTAAAGATAAGCCATTTTTTGAGTGTTATTTGTGTTTAGAGGGCAACGGGGCTGATGGACAGAGTAGGCAGAGTGGCTCACAAATTGGTTATCTCAGAAGCTAGACACAGTAAGTCCGTGAAGAATGTTTACTCTGAGAGGGCACCTCTGAACTCGGATTAGAATAAGATGAGTGGGGCTGAAAAGTGTTAAGACTTCTCAGAGTCAGATAGCAACCAAAAGCAGTATTCTAGAAGACTAAAAATTGGAAGAGGGCTTTTGGAAGAGCCCACACCTTTTATTTGTTAAGTGCAACATAATAAAGAACCAAGGAAGAAAAAGTAAGGGGCATGCATCTGCTCCCACAAAAAAAAAATGTTCGATCTGCGTAATCTGGAAGTCAGCAGACCAGTTATTTACTGCCCTGTGAACCTTACCAACAGTTAACATCATTCTTTTATGGCAGTACATAAATCTGCCACTGGACTATCTTAGTTGTATACAGTCTTCAACTTTATTGAGCTACATGCATGTTTTGTTAGACCTACAAAACGTGAATGTGATGACTTCTTTCAGAATGATGTAACTAATCTCTAGATCAAATTTCTCTTTAGTTCAATTTTCTGGTGACTCTGTCAAAAGCAGGTTTTGGAAATGAAAATTGCTGATGACAAGAAAAATGTTTCAGATTAAAAAGGCAGTATTGTACTTTCATACTTTTAATACATCCTCAACTGTATAGTTAAGGATTGGGGAATCATTGCTTGGTCCCTGAAGTAAGTTTTTCATCATATGGTGTTCTCTAGGAGAGGGAAGTAATGGGACTAGGAAGGGATTACCATTACACTTTCAGGGCTTGATATTAATGAGTAAGGTATTGACTCCAGAACAAAATGCTAGAGAGTGGAGGTAAGAGGCAACGAAATACTGCAAGCTAATGGGAGAATCCAGGATTGTTTATAGATAGTTGAGTTTAGTCAGCAGTTTTTCATACTGATTTTTTTTTTTCAGATTCGTTGCTGTCCAAAAGAAGTTGTGGTATGGAATAAGAAACTAATAGTACAGGGTTGCTGTAGCCATGATGGCCTACAGATGAAACCAAGCAATGCTGATAGAGACAGTCAACATCTTTTACTACCTCTACTCCAAAGGTACAGGTTTGTCTTAAGTTGTCCAACCAACTAACATAAACTAAACTTAGAGCAAGTATTTTCAAACTGTAATTAACCTAATGTTTCTTGCCTCTGTTTTAGACCTGAAAAAGTTTTCTGTGAACACAGTGTATCATTTTTTTTCCTGACTGATGTGCTGGAGATACTAAATCCTTACAAACTTTACTTCATTAAGAAATATGAGCATTTCTTCCTTTTCATATGTCTGCTTGCAGTAGAAAATATGATAGAGGAAGGAATGCATTTCATGGGGCCACTTTGAAGTTCATCACGGACAGGTTTTCTTTGACATTTCTTGAGCGCATGTGACTCTGGATGTATGTGCACACACAGGAAAAAGGTGTAAAATAAAAGTAGCAGTTTGTCAGAACAAATGCATATCGCTGCACTATCAACGCTGCGCTAGCATTACTGACCGCTGCTTCTCTGCCCGTGGAAGCCACAAGAGTCGCTG